TGTTTTCTACTAGTTTTATTAATATTGATATATTAATGAATAATTTAGAATTTTTTTAATTCATTTAATATATTTATTAAATAACATGTAAAATATCTAAATATTAAAATTAAAAGTACATTGTTTAATAAAAACTAATAGATTTTATAATAAAATAATTTTGAAAGTATAATCTTGTAATAAGAAAGTCACATTACTATAGTACATGTGGACAACATACGTGGACAATAAGGTGACATGAAAACCTGGTATAATGAGTAAATTTAATTCAAAAGGTTACCCAATGCTATAATGAGTAAATTTTTCAAAGTATAATGTCCTAATAAAAAAYAGTTTGAAAGTACATTGCTGTAATAAGAAAAACTGAAAGTACAATGCTATAATAAAGAAATTTATGAAAGTAGATTGATATTTTGTGCATTTGGCCCTTTATGTAATTTATTAAATTATAATAAAATTATATCATTAGTAAGTTTTCTTCACAACATTTAAAATACACAAAAAAAGGATTTATGTAGTAAATCACATAAATTCATAAAAATATAGAAGCTGTATATAATAATATTTTGAGAACAGTAAGATGAAAGTTTAAAAAACATAAAATACAATAAATAAAATTTAAAGAAAGAATTAAAAAAAAACCTATTTGATGTTTAAGAAGAAAATTAAGTTTTATTTTGAGGTTACATTGGTAAAATATAGGTCTGTTCCACCCTGTTCCATGGGATATGATGGAACAAACCTGTTTCACTTTGTTTATATCCGTTTCACATAAAAATCCTACCAAACATGGAACATGAATCCCTATCCTATTCTCTTCTGTCTTGTCCAGTGTACCAAATGCACCCTTAAGAACCAAATTACCACTACAACAACATTAGTTTTTATAGGATGTCTAAAATGCATAAACGTTCTAATATAATACTTTATAAGATTTGAGTTTATAGGATCAAACCAAAACGCATCTTATCTAAAAGTCTTACAATAGGTCTAATGATATTTTAAGCATTTAACAAGTTTTTTTAATACATTGTGTTGTATTAATTATTTTATACGACACTATTTGAAAAAGTATCTTATAAACAGAAGTGTCCTATAAAAGGAATAGTTTATAAGATACTTCTCTAAGTTGTCCTATAGAATAACTAATACAATACTTTATTTTAAAAATAATCAAAGAAACTTATTAAAAGGCCTAAAACACGTCTTATAATCTATTGTAACACTTTTAGATAGAAAACTTTAAAGTTTGGTTCTATAAACACACTTAGATATTGTAAACGTCCTATAAACCTAATTTTTGTTGTAATATACTGTATGAAGAAAATTTGTTGTTGAAATTTATAAGTTAAAAAAAAAGTAGTTTGTTAATTTATAATTAATGAAATGTAATGTAAAACAAAGGTATTGAGGGTGTTTAAAATGTAAATTATTCATGTAGTCACCTTGGTAGTTAGATGTGGCATATATATATATATTGGGGCTTAATCAAATGAGAACTGATTAGTTTGTGGTAAATGTGAGATCCAATCTCAACCACAAATCAACGGATAAATTAAGAAATTAATAATTATGGTAGTTTGAGTTAAAATTATAATTAGAAGACATTTTAAGTATTTTTAAAAAAACTCCTCTATCCTCTCTCCTCTCTTATCTCTCCGACCTCCAATCTCCGGCCTCCGGTGAACAAAAATCCGGTAGGTACCAAGTAATCACAAAGATACACAATGTTATACCTATTGTGATATACAGTGGTACTCAAATGGTAGCACAATATATCACAATGGGTATCACGGTATATCACAATGGGTATCAAATTGTGTATCTTTGTGATTACTTGGTACCTGCCGGATTTTTGTTCACTGGAGGCCAAAGATTGGAGGTCGGAGAGATGAGAGAGGAGAGAGGAGAGAGGAGTTCTTTAAAAATACCTAAAATGCTCTCTAATTATAATTTTAACTCAAATTACCATAATTATTAATTTCTTAATTTATCCGTTGATTTGTGGTTGAGATTGGATCTCACAGTTACCACAAACTAATCAGTTCTCTCTTGAATAGACCCATATACATATATATATATATATATATACATATATATATATATATATATATATATATGAGCCTAATTAAATGAGAACTAATTAGTTTGTGATAAGTGTAAGATCCATCATGAGCCAATCATTTAAGATAATTAATATTTTTCTTAAAATAAAATAGAAGGGTAAATTAGTAATTTGGGTTGATTATTCAATTTACTATAATTAGAATAATCTAATTTACTTTAATTACTTTATTATATATATATATATACACACACACACACACACGGATACACAGGGACCAAAATCCGATGGCCTCCTCCGGCAAGTGATGACCTCCTCCAATCATCTTGTCCGACCAAGACATCGTTTCCGACAATCATCTCCCTTCCGCCATCCCCGCTACTGACCACCATGTACATCTAAATACCTATATACAACGTAAGTATCATAGTGGTACTACAATTGATATCACAATGTACGAAATTAGTATCATAATGGTCTTGAAGTTTATTTGGTGTCTTTTGGATATCACATTGTATGTATTTTGGGTATCACATTGTGTATTTTGGTGTATTTTGGGTATCACATGGTGTTCGCCGAGATAAGGTTTACCGGACAGTGGAAGCAGGAGAGAGAGACAGAGGAGAGATAAAAAAAATTAAATACCTAAAATGCCCTTTAATTAAAAACATAAGTCAAATTACCAAAAATACTAATTTTTTTAATTTATCCATTGATTTGTAGTTGAGATTGGATCTCACAGTTATCACAAACTAACCAGTTCTCCCTTGAATGAACCTATATATATTGATTGGGTAATGACTAACATTGAAAGTGTTTGTAGGGGAGGGAGGTTGAATACAAACACAACAAATTTTCACTTTTTAATTTGTATGTTCATAGAAAAAAGAATTACAGATTTGCCGTAGAAACTAGGAAAATAAAGACCTTATCCTAAACAATCTGACATGGGATACATTTGTTCACAAAGGATATATTGAAAGAATAGTGTAACACCCCAAATTCATATTTGCATATTAACATATCTATAAATCCTAATAAATAAGTAACTTTTGGGACACGTTTCATGTTTTTGTGCGACGGTCATTGATTTTTTCCGCCTAAACATGTATCTAGACACAATTTTCATTTACGGTTCAAATAGGTCTATTTAAGTGACATGTGTCCCTTCGGACGGTTAATTTCACGGATTCGTGGTATAACAGCCTTCGCAGAGTAATTAGCGGTTCAGAGTTCCAAAATCTGGAGTCCTCCTTTCCAGATTTAGAGACCCGTCCAACGATTTTGTCTCCAGATTTAGAAGTAGGAGACTCAAAGGTCTCTGCATGTACGATACAGAGGCTCTGTGTCTGATGTGAAGCTCTGCATCAAACACTTACCTTTTTTGGCGCTTAAGCCTTGATCTTCCTTGGAATACAACATGGGATCTATATATGAAACACTTAACTCTTGAGTAAGAGCTCTGTCTCTTGATGTCTTCTGCATGAGAGTTGTTGGTCCAACCCGCTTCAAAAGACTAAGTCCTAAAGACTACAGTAAGAAACTTCTTACTTACACTTTTACAAGATGGGATATAACAATCTCCACCTAAGTGTAAATAAGACAGAGTCAGACTGGAATGAAAACACGAGTCAAATCGAGGCTCTGCATGTACTATGCAGAGGCTCTGCATGTACTATGCAGAAGCTCTGTATCAAGCACTTAAACTTTTTGGCGTTTAAGCCTTGATCTTCCTT